GGGGGGGGGGGGGGGATAAATCTGTGGGTTGCTGCAGACAGTCCTAATGGTTATATTGCGACTTTGAGATTTATACAGGAAAAAGTCCAGAGATTCATAGCAGCATGGATTTGGGTATGACGTGGTGATGTGATATAAGTTTGGTTACAGTCTTAGGTCTTTTGTGGTCCAATATATATTTTTTGCAAAAAAAAGGAAATATTTTCATCACATAATCCAATTATGTGTCTTGGCAAACATTACTGCCTTGGAAAACATTATTTTTTTATAACTACTAATGATGACGCCATCCCAACAACACTTGGTCATGCTATATGCAAATATTTTCATGTTCTAGATTGTGAAAACAATCAATTTCTAAAGAAATGAGTGATGATTATTTAAAATTTGAATAGCATGACCAAATTTTCAGGCTGGTTATGCCACTGATAACTAAGTCAATGGTGAACTGATTATGTAAGAATGTATATAGTAACCGTAGAAAGAAAGACATATTGCAAATAGTGATTTGAGAGTTCTTTTGTGGGTATCATAGGCTTATTTTGATGCCATACTGTTCCATACTATCCTTGTAGAGTAAGAAATATTGGAAATTTATATTGATAATATGTTGCAGCAATGAAAAAGGACCTTTGATAAAGGTATTTGTTTCATGTGAGTACAAAATGTAAATTTTACTCAACTACATAGTTTATTAAAAAAATCAATAAAATACTTCCATTTACGCTACATACATGAAACTCCGGGTACATGTAGATCGCAACCGAGTCTTTCAGTTACATTCATAACATTTTTGAAATATTTGAAATTTGAACCGGTAAATACATTTATGCATAATTGCAACATTTTTTTATATCATAATTTATGCAAATATATGCGAGTAAATCGTTAACCAAGCTCGGGATGAAATTGAAATTGATATCGTTAGAAAGCGGAAGTCCTTCTCTTACGAACGATGCAATTTCTGTTTCCGTACGATGTATAGTTTGAAAGATATATGCGTTTAAAACAACAACACTCAAAATTGCTACTTTACATGAATACTTCATGTGGAATTTCTATACTTATCTGTTATGAAAGGCAAGTGGTTGCAGCATGCATGTATTTCTAGTGTAGTTTTGCAAGTGATTTTACACATAGACATATAGTCGAGACGAGAGTGGACGAGGAATATTTGAAATATTTTATATTTCTATACCTCTAAATTCATAATCCTATTCTAACCATTAAAAATGCCCTAAAAAAACTGCATGTGTGATTGTGAGTAGTCAGCTAAGATTCATGGGGGCATGGCGTAGGCATATGTCTATCAGCTATCAGTTCTCTGATGTCAGCTCCATATTGCTGTTTAATATTTTGTGAGTTGTGAGCTTTTTGTAAATGAGCAGAATGTTTAGTATCAGAGGTTACAAGCTCCTTCATTCATGCACGCTCATGATTTTCTTTGTGTACCCATGTATTGTTAATGAGAATTACAAATGATACTGCAATTGACAAACACATGAAACAATTTAAAAATGTTTTTTTTCTAATCATCAAAATTAATTATACAATTAAAATATCTCGAAATCTACTGATACGTTTCGTGTAATCATGAGCAAGCGTTATCTGAACTGTACTCTATATAGGCATAGGCTCATGTTAAAAGAGTATACCTGTACGATTTAAATTAATATGTTAGCTTACAATGATAAAAATCTATATTACAATATTACAAAACCTAATATAAGCTGCTATTTACAAATAAATTCATGCACAAACACAAATTCATGCACAAGATTTTAACTAGATTTTTACATTTCCACATGACTTCTAGTTTAGAATAGGCCTATCTATACATATACATGCATTAGGCTTAAATTGTGAGGGTCACAAGTTTATAGTATTTTTGCACTATTTTGTGTTATCTGAAAAAAAATTTCAATCAATTAATCAATCATTAATACATGTATACAAAATTTCATTATTTTGAACTCCTCGACATGAACAAGTTCTGTGATTCGTTTACAAATAACAATGAAACACAATAAAACTAAAGATTAATTTTTTTAACTAACGAATCACAAACATTTACCACTTGTATTTGAGCAAGCCAATCACAGAACATGCTCACATTAATTTGTTTCGTCAAAAATCGTTTATGCTCAATTCAAACGTCGCGCTTATAATGAGCTAGACTTGTTCCAAGTCTCTCTCGAATTCAGTTTTGATACGGTCTATCCAGTCAATTATGAGATCAGTGCATGGCTTGGAATTAACAACTGATCTTATAACACGCTATCAAAAATGAAGAGCGAGATCTGAAGCAAGTCTAATCATGAGCCGAAGCTATAACTTAATGTCGTAAACTCATAGATACACCTCCTTGGCTCGGCTCATGAAAAGTTCGACATGTAAACTAGGTCTTCGTACTTACTTATGTTTTACACTGTAATTTCATTTCTCAGTTCTTTCGCTGCAACCTTGACAAAAATGATCCGCGTCATCAGTTTTGCAGGCGACCAAAGCGTAAAGAAATCCTTTCTTTCGATGGCAAAGTGTAAAGTCCATAATTAATATAGTAAATAATACCAATGACAATAGAAAGGCGGCGAGGATAACTTTGCCTGAAGCAATGTAAACTAGAATCTCATAATTTGCCTCTAAACAGAAACATAATAATTTCTGTTAATCATCAATTCTCTATTGCGTAAATCCTCATACCCTCTATAAGCACCATATTTAATAAGCCCCCTCCCCAATGAGCCTCTTCTCTGATAGGCCCCCTTCGTATTACGTTCCATCTCTAATAAGCTTCTTTTTAATAAATCCACTCTATTATGCCCCCTCTCTAATACGCCATCTGCCCAATCTGACCCGCTTCTCTTAAGCTTACTCGACCACGATCACACAACCGAAAAACGAATTTCTAATAATTAGATTTATAAATTGTCCTGGAAGTTCAGCTTATAAAAGATGATCTGTCTGAACGAACCTGGGCAAAGAAAATGTAGTTCTTCAGATAATTTATCTGTGTATACAAACACAAAAAACAAGATAATCGTTCGTTAAGTTGGATTATACAGGCCGAAAATGGTCTGGGTTGATAACTGCCAAAATTTTCTTGACAGGTGATCGGTGCATTGTTTAACAGGAGTTAAATTAATTAATACACGAACTATCTTTTCTTTTCCGAAAATCATCCAGATGGTTCATTCATGTCTAGTAGAACCCAGACCCTTGATTTCTTACCTTGATCCCTCTGATCACTTTTGAGCCTTTGAGGATCGTTTTTAACTTGTTGTTGTGTTTTAGCTCCGTCATAAGCCTCGCATAAAATATCATTCGTAAGCAGGACATTATCTACTTTATCAGAAGTCATGGAAGTTTGCTTATAAGACGTATTATTTTGTACCACTACGCAGCCAGGCAAGCACTGTCGGTACGCCAGATATTTAGATTGTGGGTTAGCGTTGGAATGGTCTGGATGGAGTTGATATCTTGGTTGAGTACTGTTGCAAACGTTACACACACGCATCAGATTGACTGGATTTTTCGAAAAATTCGCTTTGAAATAAGCTTCTGACACTGCAAGAAATATTCATACAGATTAAAGTTAAAGTGTAATACTCACCTTTATTATATGACAATGACGTGATTTTACCAATTTAATATTCAATATAGCAGTTTTAGCTCCTTATATTTATGACAGGTTGACCGTTTCCAAAACAATAAAACTATAGAGAAATTTTCTAAAAAACGACAAAACGTTAATCACAAAACATGTTCATTGCATGGACTAACCTTCATTATTAGTTATGGTTTTATACAGTCTACTATCCCTGTACTTTAAGTTCCCACATGTACAAGTTGTATGATTATAAACCACATATTTATAAAACTTTTCATTCCTAGAATCCCGATCTTTGTTTGTTGTATCCGGAACCACTATCTCAATTTCTTCAGTTTTGTTTGGAACCGGGTACGTATGCTGCCCAGGTTTGCATTCGCCCACCCCAACTTTAGCACAGCGATAAACTTCGATGAAATATGGAGGTCTGGATGGCAGGGTGGCAAAGTGATCATCGTATATTGAAACCACTTCTCTTTGTGGTCCTAAAACAAAAGAATCAGGTATTGGTAGGTTTGAGTAAACAATATTTCTTTATTTTCTTCCAGATACAAGACTTTTACATAGGCCTATAATAAAAAGGCTGGTTGATTACCATCTGTTACACACTACAGCTGAGTGAAACTAGATTAAACTATATAGATGTAATCATGATTTTTTCTGTGTTGGTGTAATGTACTCAGGTGAATATCATGCTTGTGATGTTACTCTGAGTGCAGCCTAGTCCCACGCTCTCTCTCTATTCGCTGCTTTGATATATTTAAATAAGTCTTAAAAGTTTTATGCCTGGGTGTGCTGTGCGGAACGCTTCAGCGAGAGAGCCTAGCAGATTTCGGTAAAATGGTCCCTGATTTCAAAAAAGTGGTCCCTGGCCTGGTTACCAAGCATACCTCATTTGTAAATGGAAAATGTTATGGAAATTTCCTTTGCATTTATAATTAAGTCATTAGTTTTGCTCTAATGCTGTCGGCACAATGAAGTAGGCTACGTTTCTCGGCCATACGGTCAGAATGGAATAACGGGCTAAATATGATTCGTGTTTACTAAAATATATAGCCATATTAAATGCTATCTAGAAGCTTGAAATTTATGCCGAGTCTCCGACTAAGAATGTTTTGACAACACCGTCATGTCAGGCAAATATTTCCAATCTCCTCAGCAATTTAAACCTGTCAAGTAGAAAGCGTAGTTGTGTATACCAGTATGGTCTAGTGTTGATCACAACTTGCGAGTACATAAATAACATCAACGATTGCTCAAACTCGGTATCGTAAACTGTATATAATTTTTTTTAGTTGAGCACATTTTTAATACAGTTTGATTTGGTTATGTAGACATCGAACATGTACATGATGAACGAACATTGTCGTATTTATAATTAAAAGGTTACTTGTATATATAAATTTTCCGCCATATTAAAATACTGAAATCTGCTAGGCGTTCTGAAGCACCTTGAGCGGTGACGTCACACCTAGGTCCCAGTCTCGTACTACATCCACTTTTTTCTCGCGCTTGCTTCAGAACGACTGGGACTAGGCTGCTCTGAGTGTATATCCACACCAGGCAAGCTTGAAAAATATGCCTGACCACGGTGGGAATCGAACCTACGACCTTTGGAATACTAGCCCAATGCTCTGCCAACTGAGCAACGCGGTCTGGTCGGTTCGAGTTTGTGATATTTCGGAACAGAATCTAGTTCCTTCGATATCAATGTTATCTAATAATAATCATGATTTTTTCTGTGTTGGTGTAATGTACTCAGAGTAACATTACAAGCATCATTTCACCTGAGTACATTAAACCAACACAGAAAAAATCATGATTATTATTAGATAACATTGATATCGAAGGAACTAGATTATTTTCCGAAATATCACATATTCGAACCGACCAGACCGCGTAGCTCAGTTGGCAGAGCATTGGGCTAGTATTCCAAAGGTCGAAGTTTCGATTCCCACCGTGGTCATGCAGGCATATTTTTCATGCTTGCCCAATGTGGATATACACTCAAAGTAACATCACAAGCATTATATAGATAGATGTATTGATTGGTTCGAATTGTTTCAACTATTATAATACCGCGTGTAGAAATATATGTCAAAAGAACTAAAGCTTCGAATTACCTGTTATTTCCATTTGCTGACTAGATTCTACAAATGATGACATGATGAACAGTAGAAAAATGTTCAGCAGAACATTTTTCAAGTTTAAAATCTTGATATCTAAAGAACATGGATGAAAAAATTCCAATTTATCAAACACAATTCAGCACTACGATTTGAACAAAACGTGTATCCTGTATTATGATTTGATTCAAACTTTAGTATAATTACATAGGTGATTATTGAAAATTCTCCACGCTGATTGGTTGCCGTTGAGGTGATTATAACGCAATAATCACCTAAGCGATTTTCGAAATGGCGGCCGAAGCAGTTTTGTCAATTAAATGACGAAGAAATGTGTATTTTTTAGTTTTTTTCCAAATAATCCAAATTATACTAAAACAATTATTCACCTTAGGCTAGGTGATTATCGTGAATACCGATAATCACCTCGCTTTCGGAGAATAATTGTTAATTAGTACGGTACTTTATTCAAACTTTATCAAACATTAGTACACACATCTGCTTGACTATACAGTATATACTGTACAAACGTTTGAAAAAAAAAATAATCAAGAAAAGATCTAGAAATGCGTGATCGATCAATAAGCAAACATCACGAGAAATTTAAGCTTGCTTTGACATGTACGAGTATGTCCTTAGAGAGAGAGAGAGGAAAAGTTTATTAAAATTTACACATCGCAGTCCGGGAACTGAATTACGTGTCAATTACAAAGTAATTTAAATTCTACTTCTACTAACTATTATGCATGCGATACTAAAACTTACATTAGAATATCGATATGTATGAATTATATTAAGAATATGAATTATATTAAAAAATATCTACTATAAATATTTATTAGGGTCTTATCGTTGAACTTTTGAAGCGTAATAGTTAATAAAACTGTCTTTAAAACGATTCGTCTTCAAAACCGGCAAGTCATATTTTGAAGTGGACCTAAGATTTATATTATTTGAATTTAGTGGTGGTAGTAAATCCGCTAATTTATGGTTATTGTTAATCGATACTGAGTTAAAAAGTTCTCTGCATAGTTTGTCTTTTCTATCCGCCAAGGATTGTATAGGCCTGTTAATTTTAACGCGTCACCATAACGTTCCTCTGGGTAGAGCATGCGAAGAGCTCGTTTCTGTATTCTTTCAATTTGATTAGACAAATACTCTGGCAAATTGCTATGAAATGTCTGGCAGGCATATTCTATTCAGGCAATGTCCTTCCATACCCGGAAGCATTGTTAATTTATATAAAGGCGGGTGACTGCGTGGGCATTAGAAGCGGAGGAAAATTGGCAGATTAATTAATAAAAATATCCCTAATCAATTATGAAGAAAATTGAAAAGAAATTAATGTTTAATCAATAAGCTGTATCGGATACAGATTTCGTCTTGATTTACACAAACTTTCGATCTTCTCGGCTGAAAGGATCCATATCTCCAAATTATATCTAATTATTATTTAATTATCTAGTTATATGTATAATATATAATTATTTGTATCATACTCATGCTCGTGCTTTATTCATTGCTTAAACAATCTTACTTTCACGCCGACCTGAGGCAGGGGCGGATCTAGGATTTTTCGCACGTTAGTCAAAATTTTATGACGTCATCGATGACGCAAACGTGATGACGTCATTTGACATGACGTCATTTGATGTCAGGATGATAGTCCAATTTTTGTGGAAGTATAGATATTTTGTTTTATCAAACTACAAATGCGTAAATGACATAATTTTCGTACCTGCCATTGTTCAGCATATGATATATTAATAGATAGACTGTTTCGCCCTACAGTGTATACCTTGGTTCATCAGCATGCCTATAGGAAACACGTTTACCAAAAATAGTAAACCGTGATCCAACAAGGACAGCTTCTTGAAAAAGCTGAACACAAGCTAGCACAGGTTTCTGGCTCCTTAAAACCAGATTGCTTGCCTTCACACCTTTTGCAAGAGCAAAAGGAGTTTGGCTAGAACTTAGAAATGGGTGACAATAAAATGAACAATGAATACCACCTAAAATGAGCAATCTGGTTTTAAGGTGCCATAAACCCACCTCACACCTTTCACCGCAGCAAAAGGAGCTTGGTTAAAAATGGATGACAATACGGGACATTTCATGGATGTGAAATTGCCTGGTTTTTCCCTTTAGCCCCTTCCATAGTCCTATTACTAACCTAGCTATGTCTATATATATAATCTAATTAAATTCATCATCTTGTTATATATCTGTCCAGCTATGAAAATGTATAATATCGCAAGTGAAATGGTGCCTCAAAGCTGTAGCTTCAGTGGAAGCCAACTTTTATTGAAAACAAGTTTATTTTACCTGGCATTTTAAACATATTTTAATCACAGTCGATTCAAATACAAAATATTTCATTACAAATGACTATTACTTTACTTATCTAGTTATCTGAAATATTAAATTGGCAAGGTTTTTAACACAGTATTGTATTATTCCTATACTATGCTTATACATACTGTATTATATACTCACTAGACAGTCACATACTATCAACATGGAGTTTGTCTGTCAGGGCCTGAAATAATGTTCCCAAAGTTCCCGATCATGGTGATCGGCAGTCATGACTTTCCCTGCTTTTTCAGGTTGCAAACCATGCTTTTCCGCCGATCATAAGCAGTTTCCTGCCTATTATTGATTGGTGATCAGTTGTTATTTCAAGCCCTGGTCTGTTGAAAAATTTAACTGGTTCAAGATGCAATGGACCTGTCTCAAGCCAATGAGATCAGACCCGATATTTGGCATCAGCTTTTGTCTACAAAGCTTGAATAATGTTTGGGGGGGGGGGGATTTGGGAAGGTGGTGATCTTGAAAGGCTAAGTTTGGTTGATGATGAAGAACCAAACCCCAGGAAGGTTTTTCTGTCAGTGTTGTGTACAAGAGTGAGGTTATTAATTGCTATTGGAGGCGAGAGTGGTCTTTGTGCAAGTTTTAACTTTAACCACATGTTCCAGAAAATTTATCAATAATGTTTCCTACAGTACTATGTTAGGAATAATTTCCTGATGAACTTGCATCATGACCAAGCCAAGTAATTTAATTTAAGTAGTCTTCAACCATAGTGCTTCGCATATAGCCTTTTAGTGTTCTACTGTATAAAAAGTGCCGAAATAGACCTTTCACACTTGCACTGTAAACATTTAAACTATCAAGGTCAAATTAGGTCATTGGTACCTGTCAATGCTTAGGAAACAGAGCTATACAAGCAATTGCCAGTTGCATATATTAGATCTAAAAATATAACCAAAGATTATATTATTATTATCTTTATAAAGTACATTTGCAGAGCTATTATCAGTCAATCAATACTCTATAAAGCATGTACACAATAAATATTTTTTATCCAACATGATCAAATATTTGAGATCAAATTTCTGCCACTTGAGGTGTTTTAATTTTATACACATAATGAATATGTATGCCGTATATAAAACTTTGGACCTATAAACCTCGCATAATTATGCAAATCGTACGTTCAATTCAACGATTTATTGTTCAAA